AATCCTTGATTTGTTAATCGAAAATCAATTGATCTCAAATCAGAGAACCATGACGACAATGTTGTTATTTGAATTTCCAACATTTACGGTATTTTTTGCTTGTTTACTTTATTTTCAATTAAATTTAGAAAAATCAAGGCAAAATGAAATTCATTTGATTATGAAATCAATAAATCAAATCAAAAACTAATGATTTGATTTGTTGATTTTCAAATAAAAGCAGTTAAATAATTTGATTTGAAGTGTCAAATCATTGATTTGTGATTTTATTTGTTAATTTTCAAATCAATTTTCAAGAAAAATCGGAACAAAATATTTGAAAAAATTCCATTTACAATGTGTTTTAAATAAATAATGAGAATTCAAATCAATATTAAAATCAAATGAATTGATTTGATTTGAATTCTCTCAAACTAAAATTTTCAAATCATTTCGAATCAATTTATTTGGTTAATGTTATTGGGTTGGAGCAAAAAACTCTATCACAACTGATTGATGAAAAGTCTAACTTTCCACACGGTTTATATGCACGTTTTAATTGATATACATATTTTAATGTTGTGATTAAATTGTAGTCGAGATAATCTGGACTATGCCACACGCTTCTTGCTTGAAAACGAGTGCAATGATCTCTGTTGGATCGCAACACGTTTATAAACCCATAGTTGATAGGAATTGGTGTTCATATACGTCAATTTGCTCAATAAAAATAAGTGTTTACCTTTCAAAAGTTCATCTTCATTTCTATTACCACATTGAGTTTTTTTACAATGAAACACGTGTATCCATATTGCATTCAGTTGGGGTTGGTTGCACATTTTCTCTCTTTTTGCCAACAACGAATAAGTGCAAAACACCCAGGGTTGATACGTTTATGATGATAAACATAGACCATGACATAAATCATGTATATTATAAATATTGTTTTTCAAGCTTTAAAATTATTGAGAAAAAAGGCGATTATTTTTTGTTGTATAATATTCTTTGATAAGCGAATGATGATAAAATGCATTCGTATTGTTTGTTTTTTTTTTTGATTATTTTTTACCCCAAAAATTATTTGAATTTACATTTTCTTATTTTTTAATGTATTCCCTTAGACCTTATTATCTATCAATTCGAAATTTCATGGAATGAAATTCAAATCAATTGGGGTCAAAGATTAAAAAGATTATATGTAGATGATATAGAAGACCATATATAACGACGATTTAATAAATAAAAATGTTCAGTTGCAATATGTCTATTATTTGTATCAGTGTGTTATCACGGAAGTAATGGTAAATGAATTTAAGAAAATTCTGTGTTTTCAGCGTGCAGTGGTTTTACCTCTAAACACCGAAAAAATAGCATTACAAAAATTGTTGAATTTATAATCAGTCTCTTTGTAAAATCCACAATTTTAATTTGAAAAATATACAATTTCAGTCTATTTTATCGAACATTTCAAATATCCAAATCATCTTCAACTATATAAGTTTTAATTGAAGTAGCTTTGCACTGTTGGGTTTTCGTGATAAATTACGTTGACAACATCAATATAAATTAGTTCATAACTCTTTTTTTCGTTTTGATAAAATCTAGACAGGAAAATGCAATTTACATTCAAGCCAACTGTATTTATGCTTCGTTCAAACTAAATAGTTTTTTTTTTTATTCTGACGACATATTAGTGGGTTCTATTCTATTTTTGTGCTTCAAATCGATTTTATTATTTGAAACAAACTACATATAGATTGCTTTGACTTCATTTGTATGATGATTTCCATGATTTAGTTTTTGGTTTTCACTTGAAAACACATTTGCAAATACAAAGTGAATACGGCTTAATGCATTTCATACGATATCCAATCATAAAGCGATTGAACATGCTATGTGAAAATTAAATGGGTTAAACATATGTTATCATTGAATTTATTATTAAAGGTATAAAAACGGCTTATAATTAAATATAGAAAGAATGGTCGAATCCTCTTTTTTTATTTTGAAATTTGAAAAATGTTGTGAAAATGCCAATTAAAAAGCAATTACTCGATAACAATGCCTATAAATTGAAAACTCATTAAAATGTCTTGATATCGAATCACATTCATGGATTATTTCTAATGATATTTTTTTCTCTTTTATTTTCAGGATGATGGTGACAAATCAAGTGCTGGCGATGAGAGTCGATACAAAAAATGTGTTTTCTGTAATCAAATCATTGGAGCCAAAGATGTTCCTAAGCTTTTACAATGCTTACATGCTACATGCAACGCATGTATTACGGCCAAATTTAATGAAATCGAGAAACCAGCGCCACCGGTTGTCATTTGCCCGGTAAGTTTTCATTTTTTTAAAATTTAAATATTTATTTATTTATTTGAGGTTTTAATGTCTACCTTAAGCAGGGCGACAGTACAATAATTATGCTTGGAAAAGAGTTGAATATTCTCTCATTAAAAACCAAGATCTTTCCTAACAATATCAATTCAAATTTCAATCTGTAATCAGTATCAAAATAAGTTATTACGAAATTTAATGCCGAGTCTGATTCCATGTTGTTGTCGGAATCATCGAAAAAAATTAAGAACAATAGTGTCCTCAAAATGAAGAACAATAGTGTTCCCTGACTAATTGACGACTAGTAGGAAATCGTGCCATTTTTCTAATTAACAGTGATTGATTTACCACATCAAACGCCTTCTGGATGTCAGCATAAAAAATGTCTAATTGCTTTATCTCTTCAAACGCTTTGGTCGCGTGCAATGATAAATCCATTAAATTGGTGTCGATGTTTCGATTTGGGAGAAATCCATGCTGGGATGTTATCATGCGTTATTGACAATTTCAGTTGTTTATGAATAATAATCTCAAAGACTTTCGCCAACCTCTGTAATTCGCTAGGGGCTTTTATGTTCAAACGTATACTACTTTTAAGGCAAATATTGAAATATAATGCCGCATATCTAGAAAATGCGCAAATAAATGTGTATAACTGCACATATTTGGCGTATATTTCGCATATATTTCGTATATATTTCTTGTATGGCATATTTTTTCATTCTCTTTTGTGCGGTCTTCCTTCGAATGTGTGTGTACAATTGTACACTGTACAATGTCAGTATAAAATACGTATAATTCGGTGCACATTTATGCCGTATATATTCGCATTTATGATGAATAAGACGCGTATATTGTGAATATTTGTGTATATTTTGTATCATAAAAGCCCCTAGGTAATTCGTAATATCGGATCTTTTACCATACTTGAATATGGGGATAGTTTCACCGATTTTCCATTGTTTTGGAAATTGAAAATCTCTGATTGACTCTTTAAAAATCTTCATCAGTGGATCAGCCAATAAGTCAGCACATCTTCGGAAAAACAGTGGTACAGATAATCGATCAGAACTCCTTTATTCAGATCCAAAGATTTCAGTGTATACAAAACCGAATCCCTAGAAATACTAATGTTGCACAACATAACAGCATATATGGATTGGATCATTATAATTATAACTGATGTCATCACAATTGAGAATATCGTCAAATTGAACTTGTTCAAAAATTTGCTGAAATTGAGTGGAAACAATAGAAGTGATTGTTATGGTTATAATTACACTTACATTGCTATAATCACTATAACAATCACTTTTATTGTTTTCACTCCATATCAGCTCCTGACGATATCTGGCTGAGCTGATTCATCTGGCTGAAAATATCTCTTTATAATGTCTGATTGAATGGGTAAGAATAATTATAATATGCAATCATCCTTTAAAAAATACTGATACAGGACTGATTGAGTTAAAATAAATGAGATACTAGCATGTGTTCAAAATAAATATGATATCGAACGAGATTGAAAATAAAAGTGGTATGTATCA